TCCAACCGTGATTCTAAGGTTCAGTACATGCGGGAAATTCTCCTCAGGTACTCCCCGGAGGGCGAACGAACTCGCGTAAGTTCTGCATTTTTGCAATTTTATTCTCCCTTGGCCCGGTTATGAATCGCCTGCATGTTTTGGTTGTGTCTCTGTATCAGGGCCCGGAAAAGTTTTCCAAAATTTACCTTTTTTTTTTTTCCTTGTTTCATTTGCATGGATTCGTTTTCATTCTAATGCATGAATGGGTGTTTTATGGGGAAATGTAGGTTTCTGTGGGGATTGGAGACTAGAGTATTGAATCTAGTGTTTATACAATGTGGGAAAGTGAGGATATCAGAGAAGATTAAAATTTTGAATTTTTTTGTGGGTTTTAGTTTGATATCTTCACTTGTAGAAACTGGGAATTTAGCTTGAATTATGAATATTCTGGTAACATAGGGTTACTTACATAGTTACATGTAATGTATCCTTCTGGCAAAATTAGGGAGACATGGTATATACAGTGTGTCTTCTAATCTACCCTTTTATTCAAATTGTTATATAAATATATAAATGCACTTGGCTCCACTCAGTTGAGTTCTTTTGATTATTCGTTTGACTGCCTGATCTCTTGTTGAAGGGTGGTGTACTATCTTTGTTTATATTTGTGTCCTTACCTTCCACTTATGCACTCCATTATACAGAGTACTATTTACTTCTTTTCTCATATTTTTTCTATCATTTTGAATCATATTTACAGGTCCAGAAGCACAGAGAATACAGGCAGAAGATTATATCAAACTATCAGGTATGCATTGTGTTAATACTCTTCTGAAGAACAGCTCTTTATAATTTTTTCAGTTGTTGAAGAACAGCAATGGTAACTGAAATGAGAACTTTTCTTTTGAAGTTCAGCACTAGAGTTTCTGGATAAACACTCAGCTGAAGGAGCAAGCAATAACTAGTACCGTTTATGTGAAACTACCAATATCTTTTAGAGAACCAAAGATGGAACTGTTGTACAGTTTTTTTGTATGTGTTATCATTAATCAATAAATGGGGGTGAAGAGCCATAAATGACTCTTGAATTGTTATTCTAACAGTACAGTTGCTGCCTATCTGATTATATTATCATTTAGATAACTATTGATGTATTATGATAGATTGTATAGACAACTGTTTAAATCCCTATATAGTTACATAACTTACAAACTTTTTCATGCTGACTGGCTCTAATTTTTTATTACACATAATTGCTGGGCTACTCGACTACTCTTGAGTTTCTTCCTTTTAATTGGCTTCCTTGCACTTCCAGCCTTTGCACAGGGATCTGTATACTATGCATGCTGCAAATTTCTTTCTGCCCTCGTTTATCAAGGCAATCAATGAAAACACAGAAGACAGTTTCCGAAATATAATGTCTGAACCCTCTCCTGGGGTTTTTACCTTTGAGATGCTGCAGCCTCGTTTCTGTGAAATGCTTCTGGCTGAGGTACTTTCCCTTTGGTGTTGTTATTATTTAGCAATACTCCTTTAGCTTTTCTTTGTAGTTTAGCCTTTCTATTTTCTTATCAGGTTCTGATTGCTTAGGTAGAAAATTTTGAAAAGTGGGTCCATGAAACAAAATTCAGAATTATGAGACCAAATACAATGAACAAATTTGGTGCTGTTCTTGATGACTTTGGCATGGAAACCATGCTTGAGAAGTTGATGGAAGATTTCATTCGTCCTATTTCTAAAGGTAATAGTTTCTACCTAGATACATCTGGAGGGAAATAAGGAAGGGAAGAGGGATGGGGTTGTAGGTGATTACATGTGCCTTTAGATTGACTTGGTTTAAATTATTGTCCAGTTTTCTTTTCAGAGGTTGGTGGATCCACACTTGATACACATCATGGTTTTGTGGTTGAGTATGGAATGGATAGAGATGTTGACCTAGGTGAGAGGCTGATATTCCTAAGCTTTGATGCTGTTTATATAATTCCTCTGGGAAATTAATTGGCATAAGACAATGCATTTTTGTATTTTTTTTTCTTATTAAGATATCTCTCCCCCCTGGCTAGTTGTCACTGGTCAAATGTTGTCGAAACCACATATTCATGTTTGTATGCTGTCAAAGCTTATTTTTAAATATACCTTTTCTTTATTGCCTGCTGCATCAAAGTATTCAGCATGTAAATTTGAGGCCATGAATAATATAAATACCTAATAATGGTCACCAATTTTACTGGAAGTACCTCTAACAACTATTCTGTTATAATCTTTATGAGTTCCAGCAAAAATGGCCTCTATTACATTTCACTATCTTCATTTCTGTTGTTTGGCAAAGAATACTTATACAACATAACTGCATGCATTATAAAAGTATGCACTTAATGAGTCACGTAGATTTATATGCCTGCTATTACTTGAGTTAGTATGCCACTATATATCTAGTTCTATGATCTCAACATTTTTACCTTTTAGGTTTCCACGTGGATGATTCAGAAGTCACGTTGAATGTGTGTTTGGGCAAGCAGTTTTCTGGTGGAGAACTGTTTTTTCGTGGCATTCGTTGTGAGAAACATGTAAATACTGAAACACAACCAGAGGTAAGTGTGTTCAAAATATTGTTTGCTGTTGATCAACCATCTATCAGAATCATCTGTAGTTTCAGTGCATTTCTATTCTGCTGTTTTCAAGGAGGTTTTATCATATGGTTATAGTTCTGATTATAGAAAATTGTTTCAGTGGTTATTTTTCCATTACTACCACATCATACATGACCAGGCTAGTCTATGGCCTTGTTTGATGAATTGAAGCTATATAAAATAATGTGACAAGGGAAGGAGGAGATGTGGTGGCTTGATGGGGTACATATTGGGAGCACACAAGAGTATAATTACAATATGGTCTAGGTGGGGCTGAAAAGGGTGAATGCAAAGCAACTTAGAATGAGGAATGGGGTGGTTTGGTGTGTGTGTTTTTCTGGGTGAGGGGTGGGTGTTGAATGCCATTGCAATTTTGTATGTCTTTTAAGGACAGGGTATGCTCCTAAAGGAGGAACACAGGTTGCTGTTTCAGAATCGGGCTATGTTACCTAGCATTTAGGGGAAAAAGTATAGAATTTATTGTGGGAAGATTCTTTATGAATGTTTTAGAATGTTAGTTCAATAATTTGTTGAGTAGAATTGTATTCACATATAGCCAAATAAGCATATTTTTTAACCTCTACAAAGGTGTGGTGTGCCTGCTTTGGGTTTAGATGTCAGCTCTCAATAGTGCATTTTAAAGTATTGATGACATGGAATCTGAGCTTATTATAATTATGAATTATCTGGCGAGATTGATATTGCCATAGATTCAGCATTCATCTGGAGTTTGTAACTATACGTGACAGGAGAGCTTTGACTATGCCCATGTCCCGGGCCGTGCAGTTCTTCACCGTGGTCGGCATCGGCATGGCGCTAGAGCCACAACAGCAGGCCAGAGGATTAACTTACTGCTTTGGTGCAGAAGGTACTACTGGGCAATATGCATTTCCATTTGTTGGACATTGATGATTATGATGCTTGAATGGTTAGGTTATCTGAAGCAGATAAGTAGATCTCCGTTGGATTAATTCTACATTCTGAACGTTTTTCCCCTCAGTTCTGTGTTTAGAGAGCTCAGGAAGTATCAGAAAGATTTTTCTAGCTGGTGTTCCGAATGCCAGCGCGAGAAGAAGGAAAGGCAACGGCAGTCAGTCGCCGCCACTAAATTGGTAATCCTCATGGACTTACTCTCTGCCACGTAAACATGTAAAAAACCATAACTGTTAGCTAATAATAATATCTACTTGTGTACACTTTCTCGTCGGTTCTTGTCAGGAGCTACTGAGAAGAGAAGAAGCGGCTTCATAGTTGATTTGCGGCCCTGCCTAGGCCGGGCTGGGCTCCGACTTTATTTTCATTTGTTGTTTAATACTCTCTGTAATATAGTGCACCCCTCTTATTTAGGGTATAAAATGCAGTTTCTTAGTGGGGATATTTGGAAGGGTGATATACATTTTTCAGCTGTTTCCAAAAGTAGCTGTACATTGAATCAATTAATGTAGGTATCATGTTGTCCAGTTTGCTAACTTGGAAGTCAATAACATATTTTTACCATTTTTCATGCTGTAATTACTGTTCTGTACTGTTATAGTATGCTTTTCAATTTTCATGGCTAAATTTCATTTTTGGACTCCAAAAGTTTATTGAAGTTCCAAGTAAATTTCAATAGTTACAGCCTCTTTGGATCTGGGAAAGAATTGAATTTGATTTCTTTGAAATATTGATTTGTATAAAGATTTAAATGCCCTTACAAAATAAATAAAGATATGTGAGGATAACATAGAAAATGAAATGTTTAATTAATTTCCTAAAGTTTCATAATTATTTTTTTTTTTTAAAACATCTCCTAAAGTTATAACATGTATTCCTATGTTATCCTCAGTCAAATGACTTTTGAAAAATTACTCATTTTCTGGACAACAGTTTCTTTTTCCGTGTTTGGTTGTGTTCTGAAAAATATAAAAATAGATGGAAATTGAGAAATTTAAAGGCAATCATGTTTTGAGTATTGACGGAAAATAACTTAACGTCAAAATTTAGCGTAAGTCATTTTTCGCAAAAATGTCTATATTTTTTTCAATTAACAAAAACTGTTTTTCGTTAACTGAATTTTTCTACCGCATGCAAACAATGAAAACTCGAAAAATATTTTGAGACGCGGGGCTGGATGAGTATCCATTATTTCCAGAGTTCTACTACATGGACTCTCAAATTCTACTCATTCATTTGTACTCCATGAGGTGACAAACCATGATTGATTATTTTCAACATGTGAGTCCATAAAAAAGTGTCTACATCAAGAACATGTGAGAGGGAGTATAAAATGAGACTAAACCAAATATTTTCTTTATTTCCACGCGTTTTGAGCATCTTACCCACTTTCCGAGGAAGCATCCATCCATCTTTCACGCGGTGTTGGGTGAGGGCAGCTTTCTATAAATGGGAACACTTGTTTGTTCTTAGGGTTCACTCACCACTGCGCCACTTCCCCTCAGCTCCCTTCCATCTGAGTAAGAAGGAAAGGAAGATAGATCTTAGAAGGTTGTTGGTATGGTGGACTTAGGTAAGATTCTATAATAATGGGTTTCTTGGATCTTCCAAGACAAACACATTATTCAACCCTTACCAAGTCCTCCCATCCCAACAATTTTCTAGGATTTTTCCCTTTCCTTAACTTCTCATTTTCACTTGTTACTTTAATTTGCTACCTGGGGCTGGCTAGTAGTAAGGTACGCTGCGCTAAATTTCTTCATCCTTCTCTATCTCTGTTGTTTCATTTACCCTAAAAAAAATATAAATATATTGCACTGACTTGTGTGTTTGTTTGGTTCTAAGTTTCAAGGTAGAGTGTTGGAGTTATTTGTGCAGGTTTATCGGTATTGAAGCTTTGGAGTTATGGGTCGCAGCTTGTCAAATTTTTTTTTTTTGTCCGACTATAAAGTGTCTTGAGCAGATCTTAACTATAGGAGACACATTTAAGTCCGTATCATTAAGAGACAAAAGATGTATAGGGAGGCATGGAGCTTGCATTAAACACTGTTGAATTGGACTTTGTTTAGTACTCATCATCTTTTTCAGTCTGCTCCGTGTATTGGCTGTCAATATATTACAAGAGTTAATACCCAAAATCGTCCTCGACTATAGTGGACAATTCAGTAATGTCAATATTTGAATTTCGGGACAATTCACAAGTTCAAATTGACAAGTTCCTTGTGACATTACTGAATTGTCCCTAAATTTGAACTTGTGAACTTGAAATTCCAACTGCTTATTCATCGATCCTATTTGTAATTTCTTATTTTATGATTAAATGAATGAGTTTTTTTATTTAAAAAAAAAAAAAATTAGACACTAAACAAAGAGAAAGATAAGGATGAAAAGAGAAAAGAGAAAAGAGGAAATAAAGGGAAAGTTAAAGAGGAAAAGAGTTAGAAGCGAAGTTGCTTTTAGCTAATTTAATTTAATATCTTCCCGACTCCTTCGAATTAATTATATATGGACCTCATTAATAAGAATATGTTTCGCGTTAGTCTTATAACTCTTATTCAACATATTGGTTTGACTTTATTATTATTATTATTATTATGAGTTAATACCTAAAATCGTCCTCGACTATAGTGGTTTTTCTTAATTTCGTCCTAAACGACTTTGGTGACTTAATATCGTCCCAGACTTTTACGTTTCGCTCAATTTAGTCCTAGACTTTTGTGTTTTTGTTCAATTTAGTCCATCATTTGTTATTCTGTCCATTTGGTGTTAAATAAATAGACAATTCAGTAATTTTAATATTAGCATCTCTTTACTTATACACATGTGAACTGCGAAATCTTTTTTTTTTTTTGTTATGAATTACTCCCAGAATTACCCCTAAAACTGCGAATATAAAATTTGATTTGCAAGTCCGGGAGTAATTCTGGGTGTAATTCATACAAGAAAGAGGAATTTCGCACTTCACAAGTTGAAAGTAAAGAGAGATCAATATTGACATTACTGAATTGTCCCTTAATTTAACACCAATTTGACGGAATAACAGATGGAGGACTAAATTGAGCAAAACACAAAAGTCTGGGACGATATTAGGTCACCAAAGTCGTTTAGGACGAAATTGAGAAAAATCACTATAGTCGAGGACGATTTTGGGTATTAACTATTATTATTATTATTATTGTTTTTTTTTATCCTAACTCTAAAACTTTGAACTATTGAACTTATGGACAAACTCAAATAGAACTTTTGATATTTTCAAATTAACATTCTAAATTTTTTAATTTTAATAAACAAATATATTTACACTAATAAATATAAATTTATATTATCATTCAATCAATTTAAACCTAAATTTTCAAATTCTAACTAAAAAAAATTAATATATTTACATTATAACATGACAATTATAATACAATTTTTATTTTTTCATAAAAATTATTTTATTTTGTAATAACTTTATTAAAATTTTATTTACAAATTTAATAAAAATTAGCTAAAGATAAGCTAGCTTACATATAAACTCTCTATATATTTTGTTTCACAACACTTGTGATACAAAGAATAGCTTTAAGTGGCTCAAACTATTGAGCTAACTTGTTTGGGCTATTAGTTTATCAATTTCAAGCTTATCGGTCACAAAATAATAATATACTCGATCCATCATCATAAATTTAAAATTTAATTCAAAGTGAACATTTTGTTGGTTAAATAAAGTGATATTTCATCTATTTTATAAAATATTAGTTAGTTTTACTTTTTTGAGTCAACATAATAATATTTTTAACACAAAAGTACAAATAATTATTTGAATAAAATCTCTAACACGAACAAAACAAATGATACCACTCTAGCTTAATCATCAAAAATGTAAAGGCAGTACCTACCATTGAGCTTAGACAAGTTAACAAGCATATACAACAGTATTCATCATTATGCACCATGTTCCAGTGTTCAACATTTAAACGTAAAGTGAATACAACTTGGTAACAATGTACTTACTACTCCATAATCCAAAGGAACATACACCTTTTCTTATCTCTCTATACACAATTATTCTCTTATTCTTTCTTACAAATCACCTATATATCAGGGTATATATAGTTTGTGCTCAAAGTAATCATTTTTTTTTTCTTTTTTAATGTGAACTCACTTGATTCCCATTATTCAAATACCTAATCAATACCACAGCATGATTATTTTTTTATTATTATGATCATGATGAGTAGGTTTTGCAAGATTATTAGTGCAAATTTCATGAGGTAAGTGAGGAATTGAGGGACCTGGAGTTGAGTGCCCTGATGAGTTTCTCCTGGTCAGAAAGGGAGTGACGGAAGTGGCAGCGGTGGCCGTAAGGGCAAGGGTCGCCGTTGAGGACCATGCGGCAAACCTCAGTCTTGTAGCGTGGATGGCGGAGGACTGGGCGGAGCTCCTCCAGGCCGTGTGCAAACTGGCAGTTGTCTCCATATGGGCATGCGCCTGTTTCTTGCCATTTGTTGCAAAGCTCAGTCTTGAACATCCCCTGGTTGTACACTTCCAATTCAAGTGGCTGCTCTTCCTTCTTTGCTCCTTTCAGATACACCCTTTGCTACAACATTATCAACACCATCAAATCAAAAAAGTTAAATTTAAGAGTAATGCTAGATATCCCTCCTATTTTCTTCTCTAATCTATCCCTTATGATGTGACATTATTTAATTGGTTACTAAATTCTCTTTTTAATTAGCGGTGAAATCAACTAATTCATAGGCACTCCAATGAACCAAAGCCCATACTAAGAGGGGATGAAGCATTTTCCAAAATTTAATCAATATTCTCGTCAATCCTAGTGATGAAATCAACCAATTCATGGGCCGTACCCTTTGCTACAACATTATCAACACCATCAAATCAAACAAAAATTTAAGAGTAATGTTAGATATCTCTCTTATTTTCTCTTCTAATCTATCCTTCATGATGTGACATTATTTAATTGATTACTAAATTTTCTTTTTAATTAGTGGTGAAATCAACCAATTCATGGGCACTCCAATGAACAAAAGCCACATCAAGAGGGGAAGAAGCATTTTCCAAAATTTAATCAATATTCTCATCATCCTAGATCTTAAATTTTACCCACAATTAGTTATATCCTTTGCTGCAAGTTATCATTATTGTTCAGTTATATATATAAATGCTTAACTAGCCAGTCTACCATGCATTAATATATCTTGCATTCTACGTTGTTATATGCTTCAATTCGGCAAGAAACTAATAATCAACCATCCATACAGCAAGAAAGTGTACCATCTCAAATTTTAGACAACTAATAACACAACACAAACATGCAATATAATCATATTGGGAGTTTGATATCAATGCTAATCATGCGTGAGTCGTATATTATTGTGCTTATTTCATGCATTAAGATTGCAATTTCTGAGTAAGAATAGGAATTGAATTCTCAGAATGAATACTGAATTTGTAAGTGCTAATTTTTGTTTGAAAGAAATAGGAAATAAAGAAATTACCGCAGTATGGGAGGCTTTGGGCCGATTCTCAGGCCTACTTCCACTGGCTTGAGCTGTCTTCAAGTAGCCACTGGAGCGGACAGAGATACTCTTGGGAAGCAGGACCCTGTCCACGTTATTTCTCTCGACCCGACCCGAGTCCATCACGCTAGTTGGGCTCTCGTGACAGTCTCCAGACGACGTCGCACCCATGTCCTCCCACAACTGTCCCTGGCTTGTCGATTCGTCGTCTCCAACAGGGACGCTCTTCCTCCTCATTCCGAATTTCGACGGGGCACCGAACTTAGCAGCGTAATCCGACGACGCCTTGAGCAGCAAGGTAAGGCGGTTGTTCAAATCGCGGTTCGCCATCTTGAGATTGATGTTCTCCTGTCGGAGCGCTTGGGCTTGTTTCGCCGTCTCGCGGAGGTGAGCGAGGACGGCATTGTGGCGGTCCATGAGGTCCCGGTGGTACTGCTGGTCGATCAGGAGCTGAGAGTGAGGAATGCCTGACGTCGTCGCCTCCAACGCCTGGCTTTCACCTCCACTGGACGATTCTCCAATCAGAAGCGAATTCTGAGGAAACATAATAGAATTGTAGAGCGAGTTGAAATCGAAGGAAGCGTTAGACGCTTGGCTGAGAAACGACGGCGAAGACAGCAAATCGTACTCCATTGCTCCTCCGAAGCCGGTGCTCGAAATCTCTCTCTGCTTTCGCGTTTTGAAGTAAACACGCCCCTATTTCTCTCTATATATGTATGCACATCTATAGACTTCCGATCATCGCTGCAATTACATGCAAATGAAGATTCCTTAACATGAATACACACACACACATTATATATCACAAATGAGTGAAATCAATGAGGAAAATGATGAATTGCGAGGAGAGAATTCACACCTGATGAAACAACAAGGAGTTCGAATCGATTCGTGCGCAATTCCTAGAGAGCGAAAGAGAGAATTCTAGAGAGAGAAACTGGACCTGAGGAAATGGAGAAGAAAGGTTTATGGAGTGTGTATATATACCGGGAAGAAGGAAGGAGACAATGAGAGGGGGGCAATATGGGAATGGGAGAGTGAAGCCGGGAAAACTGTAACAGAATTTGATTGGACTTGAAATGCCCTTGGGGAGTGATTCTTCGAGCTGGAGATTTGAGGGTATTTTATAACTTTTACTCATTTTAAGCGGGAAAGCCATTTTCCATAATTCCATGCTTGCAGGCTGCAGCTCTATTCCGCCTAATGTATAGTAACACTATTAACGAACCCAACATGAACAAGCCGAATATGATAAAATGAAATATGGAAATACATTTTTAAAAAATTATTGAAATGTATTCGAACAATTTTTTTTTTTTAAAAAAATACATATAGACTCACCTGCAATGAGTAAACTACATTAGGTAGACTATTTGACACGAATTTGACTGAAAAAATGTTATAAAAATTATAGTGATATTTTTCATCATGTTTCACCCACTCAATTAGATATTCTCATATTACAGAAATGAAAATGTTGGTTGCGAATTTCTCTCATTATTTAAAAAAAAAATGAGTAAATAATATTAAATAAATGGACAACTCTTTTTGAACGAATGAAATATTTATCCTCATTCATTTTGCAAAGTAATTTTAATTATTTTCTTATTTAAAAATTATATAAAAGACAATGGAAGTTAAGATTCTAATACGAATAAAGAAAATATTAGTGTAAATGTCTAATTAGTTGAAGTGATAACTTGTACATTGTGTTTATTTTCTTGTACATATACAAGTTCTTTTCTATTTTACCATTCTTTTTTCTTTTTAAGTTGTCAACTCATTAAATGTAATAACTTATACATTCTTCTATGCTTACATATTTTTTTTTTACATCTCTTTTGTTCACAATATATTAATTACTTCTATTGTTCTTATATTCTTATAATTTCTTTTTTTTTTTCTTTTTAATTTATTATCATCCAAAGGAGGAACAAAATCAATTATGTTCAGTTAAAATTTTGATTTATGTTTAATAGTACTTTTAATATAGTTTCTAAATATATAAATTTTATATACTACTACTAAACTTAATATTATAAAAAATTAAATTAAAAATAACTTCAGTCAAGACTCGTTACCCGAACCAGATAAACAAAACGGGACGGATGGAGTGTATAAATTTCAACCTAATTCCTTTATACATACCAAAAGAAGTATGATAAATTCATTATAATTTTCCTTTTGGTCAATGGTATGTATTGTGCCCTACTTTTGCCAATTAGGTGATCATAATTTCTCTTCAATCACCAAATCTTCCAAATGACATAATTAACTTGACCTACCAAATAGGCAGATCAGAATCAACAACTAACAATATTCACTTTAATTTGTTTTTGGTACTAATTGAGAAAAAGCTTCTACAAAATTCAATGGTTACTCTCTATGTTTGCTTGGTGTAGAAGACTAGCTAATTGGGTGTTCAAAAACTATTATGTGATTAGGAGTTTGGTTTAGGAGAAGTGGCATTTAGGGAAGGAAACAATGATTTTGCATTTGTTGGAGAAGGGTGTTTGCTTCTTTGTTACAACTTTAAACAACTAACTATATGTATCATCCTATATTCCTATCTAATATCTTAACCTCCTCCCCCCCCCCCCCCCCCCCCCCCCCATCATAATCCTCAATGATCCCACATTTGGTGTCACCTCAAAAACACTTGCTTGTTTTGTCATGGTTGTTAAGAGGCTAGCTAGCCATACACTTACCTCTCACTGACTTTTACATAAATGTTTTAACCTCCTCTTTTGTCAAAGTTTTGTTATGTGTGTGAAGTTGTGGTGAGTCCTATGGTGTCTTGCTTTGTGTATTAAGTGATTTTTGTATGATACTTTAGTATGATTAACAATTGTAGGTTTGGTGTAGGAAAAAATTAGCTATGGGTTAACTCAGTTACAATTTTCGAAATTCATTTAAAATATAATATACAAATTTCTAAAATGTCGACCAGTATCGAGCCTTTTTGTATCAGGTACAATCATGCATGTTATTTGAGTTGTGCCAATACAATCAACACTTGTTCCTACATTACCCAATCAAATAAAGCATACCATATGTAATTATACCGGCCTAGTACAAAAGTCATCGATACCAAGCAACACCTCAAAAATTCCTTATTTACACAAAATTATCATAATGTTACCGTACTTTTTTTTTTTTTTTTACAATATCTCCACTCTTGACCCTTGATCTAGACTGATCATCAGATGGAATTAAATCATATTTTTCACCTAAGGCTTTCTTCGCGATGAAACATATATATAGTATTTTGCTTTGGTGAACGGTTATAAATTATTTCTATATATAATATTGTTTCGAGCCCGTCATACATGATATTCTTAGTGTGATTTACCTCTACTTTATCTTTCATGTGTAGTTTGCAACTATTACATATGATCAGAGTTTATCCAGTACATATCCTCAAATAACAGCGACAAGTCATCACCCAAAAAAAACTAGAAAATCCATTGACTGTAAAAGGGAGAAGTGGCAATTTTAAGGAGACAAAGGATGAGAGGCCATATGGATAAGTATTCTTCCAAATGACACATCCACTAATCATAATGGGATTACTGTTATCACAACAGAGCATAGATCAGCACCCACTCCAACCAACATAACAGATTAATAGTAAAGGGTAGCAAGTCTTTGTCTGATATGTCAAGATTTCACTTGGTCATAACTCAGAACACATGCCTACACCGACAGCTCAATTGGTTTCTATGTAATAAATTGTGGGCAAGAGTACAAAGATACATGATCGAGCTTTAACAGTCGCAGTGTGGAAGGGCTCCTTGTGGGTACAAGGCACCGGTCCTCCCACCTAATAGGTCATTGCGTCACTGTGATTTATCCCACCACTATTCTTGTCGGACTCGGGTGAGGGAGTTTCGCCTTTTATAGGCAAAAACTCAAAACACATACACAGTGTGGGAGGACTCCTTGTGGGTCCGAGGCATCGGTCCTCCCATCTAATGGGTCATTGCGTCACTGTGATTTATCCCATCACTATCCTGTCGGGCTAGGGTGAGGGAATTTTGCCTTTTATGGGCAAAAACTCAAAACACATACATTCTTGACAGGCTGACATGAATCTATGCATTTCAACTCATCAGAAACCAGAAAAACTTGTAACACCAACAAGAAATGAAAATGATGTATAGAGTACAATAAGCACTGGAAAAGCATTATAGCAATGTATCTACAGATTCACTGAGCAGTATAATACAGCAGCAAGGCAACTGTTTCACCTCAGAGAGCTAAAATGCATTTGGTTTTTTTATTTTTTTTCTTTTTCTTTCTTGTTTTTGTGTTAGGAAAAGAATAGTGTTTATACACGAGGCATAGATGAACGATTCGATGAAGAAACAAAGAAGGGACTTTTGGAGAACGTACTTGGCTTACCGAGGAAAGAGTATGTACATGATCAAAGGCGTAATTTTAAATGCTCCTAGCTACATTTGCTGCATCAGATTCGTAGCCTCCCGTCTTTATAAGTTGCCCTTTTACCTTCTTCCTTATACTAGATCGAGGCCTGCGAGGAGTATACTGAGCTTCTTTGTCGTGCCTAAACATTAAACGAGACATTATGAACGACAAATCAATTATAGCACTCATAGTAGAAAAGGCAAAAGATGATATTGGGCGTCAGCCGGGTTTGCCGAGTTCAGCCCCTGCTCGATTCGAGACATGGTGTTGTTGCTTACCATGGAGGGATGTGGTTAAATGGTTAATGTCCACTTACTTATCACTAATTGGTTTTAAGTAGGATATGACAACCAGATAGCTAAAGAACTATGTGGTTAAGCATGCTTGACTTACAGCAAGTCACAAGATGGGAAGTAAGCATAATGCATCGCCGAGATCCAAGAAATGATTCAAGAGACATACCGACGGATCTTCTTCTTTCCCTTGTGTCGTGTTGAAATGTTTTCTTTGTCATCCAAGGGTGAGCTCTCGGAGTCATGTGAGTTGCACGAGAGTTCTAGTCCATTGGCGAACGGGGAAAGTCCACTGTCCATGTATTCAGTACCACTGCTTTCATTGCTAAACCTCGAGGCAGAGAAGGATAGTGTTGAAAACGACTGCCTAATGGGGCGGGGGCAATCCTTGACTGTGGGAAGAGAATGAACACGCGTAGAAGGATTGTTGGCTCTCTCGTCATTGCCCGACGGGGCTTTGCAAGTTGAGGAAGCTGCTGATACATCCTGTTATGAATATAATCAAATAGTTGATACTTAAAAAGGAGAGTGGAAGTGTTGAGCGGAGGTCTGACGGGTCAAGTCCAGCACCAGGTGGCTACGGGAATTGTTGGGCCGAGGCCTGTTGGGCCAAGTCCAGAACCAGGTGGCTACGGGAATTGTTGGGCCGAGGCCTGTTGGGCCAAGTCCAGCACCAAGTGGCTACGGGAATTGTTGGGCCGAGGCCTAAAGGGCCAAGTCCAGCACCAGGTGGCTAGGAGAATTGTTGGGCTGAGGTCTAAAGAGCCAAGTCCAGCACCAGGTGGCTAGGGGAATTGTTGGGCCGAGGCCCGAAGGGCCAAGTCCAGCACCCAGCCTTTTGAAATGTGGCGGTTGCTGCTACGCAGGTATAAGGAAATAAAGTTGCGTTTTTGCTACTAACTATAGCTTTTGGCGTAGTGGTAAGAGCTTAATCCTAACAGGAAGTCTAATACTTTTGTGTTATGAAAGGATGATCAAATGCATAAACAAGGCTTAGCAGGTCAAATTCTCAGAAACTAAAACGTTAATTTCAGTTGAAAAGAAATGTTTCAAACCTCGACCATCTTTGAGTAGCCATTGCACGACATATCCATGGATGAATCGTTATCAAGTAGCGATTTATTTAGCTCTTGCTCGCTACCGAAAAGTTCTTCGATGTTGTGGAATGTCAGATCCACGTCGGGCATGTTAAAACTATCCAAGCATCCAAGCTCGTCACAAACTCCAAGATCTTGCATATTTTGAGGCCAAAGCTGCAGAAATCGAACAATAAACGAGCTCATAGATTGCGAGGGAATATGTATAAACTATAAAGTATAAACCACAAAAGAGGGGTCGGGAGAGTTTTAACGAACCAGGCTGCTGTTGATTGGACTTTTGCATTGCCAAAACGAGTCTCCATCCAATTGCGGAAATGCTGATGGGAAAGGATCAGCAGCCCAATCTTGAAGTTCAGGAGCGAGATCAGGTGAGCGAGGCAAATTCTGAGTAAAAGTTTTATTTACATTCAACGCTTTCTTGCACTTGATTGACGATTCCCTCGGGACGTGACCGCTAATTAAAGACGAGTTCTCGTTGCCTTCTGTCAGTTGAAGCCTTTCGAGGTCAAGAATCTGCTGCAGAATAAGGCAACTACTCTCCTGCTGGTTGCCCGTTTTTAGAGCCTGCCATAAACAATGCACAAACCGAATCATTTCACAACTATAAAAGGTTCCATTTCTCGTGCAAAGTAACTACCTTAGATACTCCCAAAGAGCCTCGTTTCGTAACGTTTGAACTCTCATCGAATCTTTCCACGGTTATATTCGACGTGGAAACCAGCTGGCTCTGGAAAGTACTAGAAGAATCCAATTCATTCAAGTCGAAACCCCACAATGCCGCCAAATCCTTAGCGGAAGGGCACCCGAAATAGCTACTGATAACTCTTTTCTGGTGCTGGGAAGACGGGCCATGATGGCTTCGGTCACAATCACGACACATAAACATCCGGTGACCCGAACACTGAACAAACGCGGGGTTGCACCTGCAAGACTCGCACACGAGGGTGCGGGGGTGACGACTCGAAAGAGCGTTAGCCGAGTGAACCTTCGAGTCACACGAGAGGCACAGATGCGCTGCATCAGCGCTACAATACACGACGGGCTTCAATAACATGCAGTACTCGCAAGTCTTCTCCATCATATCATCCACGTTTCCCATTCAGAAAACATCAAAACAACAGCCACGTAAACATCTCGACTTTCTTGAATCAGTTCCAAAATACGGATCTCTGAAAGGAAATTAAAAACCACAACCTTCATTCAATAATCCTCCTTCCTTTATACAAGTCGCTTAATTAAATGATTCAAAACCAGAAATGTTTGTACAGACTTAGTCCATGAGTTATATACATGACCATCTTTTAACACCTAAGTTATGCGCAAAGTGGCGAATTTGGTCTCTGAAGCACCAAATCCGCCAGAGTCCCAGAAGGACTAAGTTTGTACGACGGGTATAACTGAAAGACCAAAAATGTCATTTTTCCCTAAGTTAAAAAATCCCAATAGAACAATCAAGCCAGCCAGCTCTAAAGAAATTCCTCAAAACATTCTTGAACTGGACTAAAGATTTGCCCTACCACCATTTCATGAGCAGATCAAATGCAGACTATACTAAAACAGAATTCCCTTTCTTAAAACTATTCACAAACAACATAAGTTGTACAAAATAGGGCCAGCAATCACAGAATATTTCATCCAAAAGCTACCAGAAACAGGAAAGAAGTAAATTTCACAACAAAGTCTCATAACAGTAAACATTAACCTCAAAATAACATCCTTTTACCTTAAATATTTCCCCAAGAAAAAAAGAAAAGAAAAGAAGAAGTCAAAATTACAGCTAAAAGGTGTTGAAACCAATCAACAGAGCTGTGATTTCTGCCCAAGAAGTCAACTTTGATGAATCAGAGTGAAAAGGATAGCAAAATGCATATTTAATCTAAAAACCAGAAACCCAAAAAAAAAAAAAAAAAAAAAAAAAGGGAAAGGAAAGGAAAGGAAAGAACTTTAGTACCTACCAAATTTCACAGAGAATAAGGATACAAATAGCATTGACATCAGAATAACAAGAACTAATGCAACACCCTGTACCTTAATGATTTAGCAAGAAACAGTGAAACATTCCAAAATCTGGGCAAAAAACAGTGTGGGAACTGAGCAAGAAACCTGTGATTTTCTTGGAAAGAAGTCAACTTTTCATGAATCAGCAGGGAGTGAAAAAAAGGGTAAAAAAGAACAGATGGGTTTACTGAAGAATGGGTCACAAGAAAGAGTAGTCTATCATTGATGATCAACAGCAGTGGCCAGTGGCTTTGAACTCTTCCCTGTTGCTGTCATTACCCTTTTGTTATCTACTTTTTTTTTTTTTTTTTTTTTTGGCTCTCTCTCTCTCTATCCATCTGCAAGCTAGGCACGACATTACCTTTTTTGTCTGACGTGGCACCTTCGGGATAGTGCTTACATGAAGGTTGGCTTCCCATATCTCTCCATGAAAATGTTTAACTCTGAAGTATGTTTGACTATTCACTGATTGCATAATAAAAGAAATTATAAAAGTTTTTATGTGGTTTTGTGGAGTTTTTGTAAGAATTATTAAGAAAAAAGAGATGGTAGAAAAGAGAAAAAAATAAAAATTGATTTTTCACAATATATATATATATATATATATATATATATATATATATATATATATATATATATATATATATAAAGAAAGAATAAAACAACGCTCTTAACGTGTCTAGCGGGCGCATGCACGTGGGATTGTAACCTTTACACGACAGATATATAGTGCAATATTATTTGAGACGGGTCTCACATCTATGCAAAAACCCTCATTTGCAAGAAACCCACACATCCTCTCTTTCTTCTAAGGTAACAAAAAACTCCTATAAAAAATCAAGACTTTTTCATAAGTTACGCGCAACTGATGCGTGCCCATCTTAGATCTGTTACTTTTTTTTTCCCATTTTCCTTCTCTCTCACATGTTCTTTTTCCTAATCACTTATGCAAAAACCAACTAAAATCTTCATCTATTGATTTTATTTTAAATAATAAAATAATAAAAATTGTGATTTTTTAGATGAGTTAAAGTGTGTATCTCATAAAAAAAATATTACTCCGTACTTAGTAATAAAAGTAATACATATATTTATAGTAAAATTTCTATTATGTCTTGATTTTATCGGTAAAAAAAAAAAAAGGAACTGATAAAAACTTTGGCTCACATTTTATGAATCACGTTTGGTTCACGAAATAGCCTAGAATGGAATGTCATTTTCGAAAATAGACTTATTCCGTTGTTTGTTAATACATTTTATTTTTGAAAATGAGTTATTCTTTTTACAAGGGGAATATGTATTCTAAAGGCCTCCTTGGTATTAACTATTCCTGATACATTGTAATAGAGTTAGTAGTAAAAAAAATGTTCTTAAAAAATTATTTGTTACTTGTATAAATATTTTGTTATATAACAACTTATACATCATGATTTTTTTAATTTTTTTTACAAAACTGTATTTGAAATAGAATAATATTATTTAAAAATTTTATGTAATTATTAGTATTGTTATTATATTTATTAATCGATTACGAATCGAGCTTAAGTATTCTAGACTTGTGACTCGTCAAACCGCTAGAAATTAATTCTTTTTTTTTTTTTTAGAAATTAAAATTTTAAACAGTCAAAACTCAAAATCCCTAAAATTTTAATCTCCATTCTCCCAAATTTTCTAACTGCCGCCACTCAACTCAAAGTCTCGTCTCTCAGACTAGCAGACGGGCAGAGAGACTTCGTCGACATTAGAGAGCCGTCGCCGCCGTCCACCTCCAGGCCGCCGTCGCGAGTCCAGAGTCCGCCGTTGCTCCAGGCCGCCGTCGCGGCAATTGCTCCACGCCACCAGAGTTCAGACCTGCAGGCCGCCGTCGCGGTAATTGCTTCACGCCACCAGAGTTCAGACCTCCAGGCCGCCGTCGCGAGTCCAGAGAACCGTCGCCGCCGTCGGTAATTGATTTTATTCATTTATTAATTATTATTATTCTTAATTTGTTAGTGATTCTCCAATCTCCAGTGTTTCTATTGAATATTTCTGTTGCTTTTATGGATTAGGCAATAGGCAGTAGCCAGTAAGCAATTACTGTTTCTATTGAGTATTGAATATTTCTGTTGATTTTGTTGCTTTTATTCATTCTTAATTAGTTAAGCTATTGAAAGCTATTCATTCTTAATTAGTTATGAAAGTAAGCTAAAAATAGTAATAATGCTGATATGTGTGCTCTGATTTGAATATGCCCATGTTTTTTCATATAGGACATTGAAGTTTCTCCAGTTGTTTATGTATATTGCAGTGTCTGTTCCTGTTATTTTTCTTTTTATTCTGTGTTTTCATGGGAATTGAGTAATTCTGTATATTTCTGAATTTTGCAGGAGTTGCCATGTTAGAAACTATGAATTTAATATCTCAAAATGTTGCTCCTAAAGACCGAACTGGTAAGAAGAAAAGGGAGCCTCTTGATGAGTGTTCACCTCTCGAGGGCAAGGAACAAAATGAAGATATGCAGATCTCTGATTTAGACACCACAGGTGGAAAGAAGAGAAAGAAACACCGGAAGGAATTAGAAGCCGAGGAAGTGAGGGAGATGAAGAGGCTTGAGACCTTCTTGTTTGGCTCCTTGCACTCGCCTATTGAATTTGGAAAGGTAGATGAAAAACCAACAACTACCGAAGAGGCTGAAAAAGATTCAGCAGTGTTCTTTGTGGACCGGCATGCCAATAGTTCATTGACTGCTTATGAAGATGACAATCAAGTGTTTGATGGAAGAAGTGATGAACAGGAGGCTGAGGAACGGAAACCTGCATGGATAGATGAAGAGGAAGAGAAGACTAGTATCAATGTAGCTAAAGTAAACAGATTGAGGAAGTTGAGGAAGGAAGAGGACGAGAGTGTAATATCTGGTTCTGCATATGTGGCAAGATTGAGGGCTCAACATGTTAAGCTAAATCCAGGGACGGAATGGGCGCGAACTGATTCACAGAGAGAAAGCTACATCTCTGATGGTGAAGATTCAGGTTCTGATGAAGAAAATGGTTACAAGGATGCCAAAGTGGTTGGTGATATCCTTCGAACAAACGAACAACTTGTTGTAAAAAGCAGTGCAAAGTTGTTACCAGGGATGCTAGAGTATTCTCGACTGGCTGATGCAAATAAAGGGGAGTATTCAAGTGGTCCGATAAATTCTGTTCAGTTCCATAGGAATAGCCAGTTGCTTCTTGTTGGAGGATTGGATAAAAAACTCCGATTCTTTCAAATTGATGGAAAAGATAATACCAAAATTCAAAGCATCTTTATTGAAGATTGTCCAATTAAAAAGGCAGCTTTCTCACCTGATGGATCTCAAGTTATTATATCAGGTAGAAGAAAATTCTTTTATGCCCTAGATTTGGTTAAGACAACATTGAATAAGATAGGTCCTCTTGCTGGTAGAGAGGAAAGGAGCTTGGAAAGTTTTGAGGTATCCCCCGACTCTGACATGATTGCTTTTATAGGCAATGAAGGGTATATTTTGCTAGTTTCCCTCAAAACAAAGGAACTGGTTGGAACGCTAAAAATGAATGGGACTATTCGGTCATTAGCTTTCAGCCACGACGGACAAAAGTTGCTGAGCTCTGGTGGAGATGGCCAGATTTATCATTGGGACCTAAGAAGAAGGGCTTGCTTTCATAAAGGTGTTGATGAAGGCTGCATAAACGGAACTGCTCTCTGTACTTCACCAATTGGAGGTCTGTTTGCAGCTGGTTCAGACAGCGGGATTGTGAATATATACAACACCCAAGACTTTTTAGGTGGGAAAAGAAAACCTGTGAAGACAATCGAGAATCTCACTACCAAAGTTGATTATATGAAATTCAATAGTGATGCCCAAATTCTAGCCATCGGTTCAACCATGAAGAAGAACAGTTCAAAACTGATACACATCCCATCCTTTACAGTTTTCTCAAACTGGCCTCCCCCAAATCAAACCCTGCACTACCCGCGGTGTTTGGATTTCAGTCCTCACAGTGGTTTCATGGCCATGGGAAATGCCTCGGGAAAAGTCTTACTATACAAGTTGCATCACTACCACCATGCTTAAGGACCTAAAATGTTGTCAACAATGTCACATTACCTTTCTGGATGAACAAAAGCAGCACCTTTTATGGAGCTTGAAGTCAGAAATCAATTTACTTTATACTGCTTTTTCAATTCCAATTTTGTACCATGAAGTTTTATTTTTATTTTTGCCTAGGAGCACCACCTCCACAATTATGTTTAGTGTCTGTCTTATTACACAGGATTTTGAAACTTTGATTACTGATTAGCTTTCTGTTATTGATTTTGGATAGACCTTTCTCCTGCTGTTAACAAATACAAGTAATTGAGTTGCTATTCCAAAACATTTTTATGCAGTTATATCCATTATATTTGCATGAATGTCAGTCAATACCCGACGTTACAAATTTCGTCCTTAATGTTTTGTTAAGAAAATGATGAAAGTTGTAACGTCAGTTATAGCTTAGGACGAGAAGTGAGCGCAATAAAAAAGTATGGACGAGTCTTACAATTATCTATAACATAACAATGAAAAAGTGTAATTTTTCCTATCTTTTTAAACACAAGATGTGGACAATCAATTATTATAAAGAGTTGCACGATCAAAATGTATGGACGAATCTTACAATCATCTATAACATAACAATGAAAAAGTGTAATTTTTCCTATCTTTTTAAACACAAGTACGGTCAATGAAATTGTCCCTAATCAATTAAGACACATTATACAATTTATCTCTTTTATTAGTAAAATCTAAGGTAACATGCTCAGAGTCCGATTACATGTGAATGGTCTAAGTATTAGTTAAACCACATAGTAAACGCAAAATTAGTTCTTGAACAATCTGACTAACAAATTATGCACAATTAAAGACTAGACAACCAAACAAAAAGCAGTAAACAAGACGCAAGGTTTGGTAACCCAGTTCAAAGTACACATACTCATACATATGGGGTAATCTAGCCGTCTATCTCTATAAATTTCTTGATCAATCTTCAAGAAGAATGAGATAGTCTTTAAATAAATGAATCGCGTGCGGTTGCAACTGTCTTGAACAACACATCGAATAATCTACCCATTTGATTTGGTTCAGTCTTCAATCTTCATAACTGAGAAGTGAATTAGATGTTGTTGTAATAGATCCTAGTTCAAACTCTTAACAATTTATTGCAAAGACTGAATTAAAAGATAAGTAACTGCTTTGTCCCATAAAATTTTAACAGAATATGGGGATAAATAATATATTTTCATCA